TTCTAGCAATCACAAAACATCTCTACGTGTTCTTGAGTAATACCCAAGTCATCAATAAAATCATGCATCCATAGCTTTTTTAAAAGTTTCAGTCACTGTCATGTACTCTGCTTCGATGGTATAGAATGCAACAATAGACTGCAATATTGAAAACAGGTCCACTAGCCTTAGAATATAAATAACCAATAGTGGATTATTGCTTATATCCAAATCATCAACATAGTCAAAATCCATATAGAAAACTACAAGGTTGTCAAGATTAAACATCTCTTGTTCTTTGAAACTTGATACCAACATCGATAGTCCCAAAAATGTACGTGAGAATCCATTTGTCAGCCTGTCAAATACTCTTTACCAAAATTATGCATGTAACGGCTCACCATGCTTATTGTGTGTGAAAGATCAAGCCAAGTATATACCATAACATACATCAAAGTTCCCACAACATTTGCATAAGAAACATCCTCCATATGTCTTGTCTCATCATCAAAACTCGAACACTTATAAGCACTGAGCTTGGAATGAGGAACAAGTTGTTAGGATCGAACAACAACACACACTCGATCAAGATGAACACATAGAAATAGGAGAAAAAATGCAAGGAAAGGACAAATATTGCATAAAGGATAAAGCACTTACTAATTGGGTATATATATGGTTTCCGTTTACTAAATATAGATTTAATCAAGATACTTCTTATAATCTATCAAATCATATCTCTAACCGATAATTTTTAAGAAATATGTGTCATATATATCTCAACCGGATCTTTTACAATAAATAGGCATAAGGTCCATATCTCAAATAAATATGAATACCAGATCTTTACGGATATCTGTCATACACTTCTCTAGATTCTCTTCAACTTTGGTCACCATTACACTTTTTCAGTGGTCATTTGCCCATTTTTTTCTGACAAAAAAATATAAAATAAAAACATCAACCAAACTATATGTTGACCAAATGTGAGTGCTCACTACTTTATATGCAAAATGGAAGAATCATGTTTGTTTGTTTTTTTCAGTTAAAGAATGAGAAACAAAAGTAGAATTCAAAATCCATGCTATCTACCAACTAAATTCTAATAACAAGTGAAAATATTCTACTAACAAACTTTTGAAAATAAAATAAAATATACTACAATATTAGAATTACTATTTTATATTTGATATATTTTATGTTATCTTCATGATTTGGTTAATATAATATTTTATGTTTTTTTTTTAAGATTTAGTTTATAGTTTGTATTCTATTTAAATGTTGTGAACATTAATGAAAATTGGACTTTAGATCTCACTTGGACTTTTGATCCCACCTATGTTTCTTCGACTTTCAATCCTTCTTCCGTTTCTCATTCTTAACATGGTATCAAAGCATCATTCTTAACATACAAACCAATGGCTAAAAATAATTGTTTCTCATTCTTAACATGAAATCAAACATCATTCTTAACATACAAACCAATGCCTAAAAATAATGGAAAAATCTTAACTTATTAGGACTATATAAAATATATTCCACAACTAAATTTATATCTTAAATCAAATTTCATAATACTCTTCCTCAAGTTGTAGAATGTATGTCAATCACACCCAACTTGTCTTCATACTATCAAATTGCTGTCTTCTCAAAGCTCGAGTGAAAACATATGCCAATTGCATTTTAGTCGAAACATAACATGGTTTGATGATTTTAGCTTGTAACTTTTCCCGAACTATATGGTAATCTATTTCAATGTTCTTTGTAAGTTCGTGAAAAACTGGATTTATTGCTATATGCAATGCTGCTTGATTATCACAATACAACAATGCTGGTTCGATACAACGAAAATTTCAAGCCATGAAGAATATATCTCAGCCAAGCTAACTCTAAACAAGTGTTTGTCATAGCTCAATACTCATCTTTTGCTTATGATCACAAATTAGTTTGCTCTTTAGACTTTCAAGAAATAATTGAATTTAGCCCGAAGATACAAAACCCAAGAATAGACAGCTTTTGATGTATCTCAGACCTCGTAACAACTTCCTTCCATGCATAATTTGTCCCATTGAATTTGATTGGAACAAGTGAATATCCTGGCTCATCACTTCTTGGTTCATGCCCTGCATAAATGACTTACTCTAGAATTAGTAATTTGTCCCATTTAATTTGATTGGAACATGTGAATATCCTGGTTGATGAGACTAGTGAATGTAATAAGGATGTGTTAAATCAACATCCAAAATTTTGAAGTTGGATTTGGCCGACTCTGCCAAAACAAGAAATTTTGATATTTAAGAACACCTACCAAAATCGTTGTTCCCCTTGAATCACTTGAGAGGTTTATGCGCATGGGATACTCCATCAAGTTCCCTTCGTGAAGATCTTGTTTACCGTACAGGAAAAACAGTTGGAAAGGAAATAGGTCGACAGGTTCTTCTAATGAAGGGCATTTGCCAAAGATGGTAAAATATTAGTGATAATGGAGAGAGATCTTTTAACTTGAGAGCTTTCTCATCATCTAATCATTCCATCATTGAATTTGTAAAGATGTTGTGAAAGAAAATACGAACATCTTGAGCATGCCACCTTTGAGATTTTGTGAGAAATTTGAAGAAGCTTATAACGTAGTCTTGATATTGGATGATCGAGAACAATTTTCCAACCACATTTCTTCATGTAGGGGATGATTGATTATGTAGCCAATTCAAGATCTAGATTGAGATTAGGAGGATACCTGTTGGTGACGGAATCTCGATAGCTCTTGGTCTAGGAGCATGATTGAAAATATCTGTAACCAATTCAAGATCCAGATGGAGATTAGGAGGCTACCTGTTGGTGACGAAATCTAGATAGCTCCCCACAAACATCTTGATAATGAATATGTTGAAATATTTAGTTTGTAATACCATAGTTTAGGGCGTTGTGATTTAATTTAGTTTATGATCTGATTTAGTGTGATCCTATTAGTTAGGAAGTTGTGATTTGATTTGATTACTTAGTTAGTAACTAACTGTTTATCCGTTAATATTTCTCTTTTTGGGTTGGTTTGTAGAGCTATTTATATAACTATTTCAGTTTCTCTTTTGGTTGCTTTGTAAAGTTGTTTATATAACTATTTCAGTTCATCATCAAAGGAGATAACTTTGATTATACATTGAGTTTTTAGTTTTCTAGTTTTTTTTAACATTTGGTGTCAGGGTCTGCTTACCTTGAAAAGTAGCAACCTTTTCAATATAAGAGGAGTGGTATGGCGACGGATAGTAATTTTGTGCAGCTATCGATTCTAAAGTTGGATGGACATTATGATCACTGGTCTATGATGATGGAAAAGATTCTCCGATCAAAAGAATATTGGAGTGTGGTGGAGCAACATCAAAATAAGATAAAACAACAATAATAAATAAAGTAAAATATTAAATTCAAAGTGACCTATACTAAACTAAGTCTAAGAAATTAAAATGTTTCTGGCCTATGCAGGTGCCTTGGTCTTTGATTATAATACCATTGTCACCCATACAAGGGTGCATTAGACTTTACCTGAAATAGAAGTAGCACACTACTTAAGTATTTTAAAAAATACTCTATAAGTGACCTCACTACTAGGATCGAGAAATGCAAACCCATGCAATTTATGCTCTAGGGACTTGTCTTAAAACCATCATAGGGGTGGCCTCCAGTCTAGACAACATTGGATGCGTAATACTTTCCAACAGACGACCCACACGTGCGAGCATGTATCCCCAAGTGGTTCACACCCTAAAATACCTAAACTATTTTCCTAAATTGAATATACAATGGGGTCATAAAATTATTGGGCTCGACCTTATTAGGCTAGTGATGATATTTTACTACTAAATTCCTAGGGCATGTAAGATACTTAAATGAAGACTCTATCTTCCAAGACACTATGTACTAATTTCTTGAGTTTTCTTGGTTTTGGAGTACTAAGTTCTAGACCTCTGATCGCCGCTCACGATCCTATGGTAGTTGACCTACTAGAGGCATCATGACCTAGGTTATCATTTCACCGTCCATGTAGTCCTTAGGTCAAATGTGAGGAAGTAACCACATATTCTTATCGGACCATGCAATTACTCTTAGCAAGTCTGCTAATCATCCCTACAATGTCACAGCATCCAACCTTACGATAGACCATTAGTCATAAAATAGTGTCATATAGTGCATAACCTGAACCCTTATCATTGTCATGTTTCACCTACAAATTAGTATGTAGCATGTACAAATTAGCTACACGGTAACATTGTTGTTTCTCATGATCTCAAAATTATGAAGAGTGGTGCCAAGCTCATTATTTCTCATGATTTTAAATTTAGAAATGACAATAACCTTATTCTTTCTCATAGCATCAAACATGTTCTCAAAACTACAAAGAGTAGAGAAATCTTACCGTTCCTCCTAATCTCCAAACCACAAGATTATTTCTCATGGTCTTAAAATTACAAAAATGTGGCGACAACCTTATTTTTCATTGTCTCAAACGTGGTGTCAAAACTACAAAGAATTACAATAACCTTACTATTTATCACTATCACAAACTTGTTCTCAAAACTACAAATAGTGAGGACAACCTTCTTCCTCATGTTATAAATGAGTTGTATGAGTGAGACAAATAATCCAATGAAGTACCATCCATAGGGAAGAAAATCTCTACCATATTATGGAATAATATTGAGTTCATGAAATAAAATAAAATATTAATTTATTAAACATAAAAGTTCCAAGCACCCACACCTTAGTAGATTAGCAATGGTATGGTTTTGTTTAAACATATAATTATCCCTTCATTAATGACCTTGAGAGGAAGGAGGGACAAATTAGAATTAGAAATTAAATAGTCAAACATTCTATACATGGAATACTCCCAAACCCACAAAATTTAAGAGACTTTTTAAATTTTGTGGTCTTTTCTAAATATAGTTTTCCATCGAACTATATATATGGCTTTACATTATGAGAGAAATCCAAGCACCCACACTTGAGCCGTTGCTTCTCTTCATCATTTGTGAAACGAGCTTGTAGCCCTACAACTTCAAGACAATCCACAATGGTCATGGGTAATGGTTTCAAGCTCTTTCACACCATTTTCTTAGTGATTGTTTGGCAATATTGTGCAAAAGTGGGTGCCACTTTTGGGGATGAAACCGGTGTCATAAATCTCGATCATCAATTTTCATTTCGTGCCTTTGGATCACATGACACACAAGCCCCCATTGTTGCACCAATTGGAAGTAGCACAAATGTTTTAGTGGCAGCACCATTTGGAAGCATCGCTCAAACTCCCGAGGCTCTAACCCCAAAGGCTTCGTCAACTGAAAGCATTGCTCTAACCCCGGAGGTTGCATCGGTTGAAAGCATTGCTCTAACCCCAGAGGTTGCATCAGTTGAAAGCACTGCTCTAACTCCGAAGGCTGCACGAGTTGGAAGCACTCAAACCACAACCATTACACCAATTGGAAGTAGCACACAAGCATGAGAGTAGCATTGATGTGCATGGAGGTTTCTTTGCTAAACCTAAGCCAAATTGAATCACTATTTTGTAGACAAATTTATTATTTCTATATATATTTTTTTAAATGGAATGATTTTTCTACCTTCTTTACTCATATTATCACCTTGTCATAAGATCTCCAAGTTGATAGCGAATTTGGTTGCTACCACGTTAACACACTACTCCTTCCTTCCGACGTTGATGAGATCCAAACAATGGCAGAACTTTTCACGAGCGATCACCTTTGTCAACATATCAGCAGGGTTATCAGCAGTTCCAATTTTTAGTAAACGAATATCCCCTTTGCTAATAATTTCTCGAATAAAGTAAAAACGGACATCAATGTGTTTTGTACGAGCATGATGGACTTGATTTTTTTGACAAGCAAATAGCGCTCTGGCTATCACAAAATACATCTATATGTCCCTGCAAAATACCCAAGTCATTGATCAAACCATGCATCCAAATAGCTTCTTTAAAAGCTTCCGTTACTGCCATATACTCTGCTTCAGTGGTAGACAATGCAACAGTAGACTGCAATGTTGAACGCCAACAAACAAGTCCACCAGCCATAGTAAATAAATATCCCGTAGTAGATCGTCGCTTATCCAAATCACCAGCATAATCAGAATCCACAAAACCAGCTACACGATTGTCAAGATTAAACATTTCTTGTTTTTAAAACTTAATACCAACATCAATAGTGCCAAGAATGTACCTAAGAATCCATTTTACAGCCTGCCAATGCTCTTTACCAGGATTATGCATATAACGACTCACCATGCTTACTGCGTGTGAAAGATCAGGTCGAGTACACACCATAGCATACATCAACGCACCAACAACATTTGTATAAGAAATGTTCTCCATATACCTTTTGTCATCGTCAGAACTTGGACACATGGAAGCACTAAGCATGAAATGAGGAGCAAGTGGAGTACTAACGGGTTTGGTTGAATCATTCAAACTAAATCTTGACAATACCTTGTGTAGATATTGAGACTGAGTCAACCAGACTGTACCTTTTTTTCGATCTCGCTCTATCTCCATTCCAAGTATTTTCTTTGCATTGCCAAGTCTTTCATTTCAAATGTTTTAGAAAGCTCATCTTTGAGTTTATCAATCTCCACCTAAGCAATTAACATATCATCAACATATAAGAGCAAGTAAATAAACGATCCATCATCGAGACGCAAGTAAATAAACGATCCATCATCGAGACATCGATAATACACACAATGGTCAAATTGACTATGAGTATACATATGCTCTACCATGAAATGATCAAACCTTTTATACCATTGGCGAGGGGATTGCTTCAGCCCATACAAAGATTTCTTCAATCTGCATACTAAATGTTGCTGTCCAACTACTCGGAAACCAACTGGTTGCGCCATATATATTTCTTCTTCCAAATCTCCATGCAAAAAGGCAGTTTTTACATCGAGTTGTGCAAGCTCAAGATTAAATTGAGCAACCAAAGCTAACAATATTCGAATCTAAGAATGTTTTACCACAGGTGAGAAAATTTCATTGTAATCAATACCTTCTTTTTGTGCGTAGCCTTTAGCCACAAGTCGAGCTTTATAACGTATACCAAAAGGGTCTTCCTTTTTTGCAAAAACCCATTTACAACCAATTTCCTTCTTACCTTTTGGAAGCTGTACCAAATCCCAAGTTTGATTTATCTCCAATGATGCTATCTCCTGATTCACAGCCTCTTGCCAGTGTAAGCTATCCGGGCTCTGAATAGCATCTTTGTAACTGTTAGGAACTCCATCAATCAAAGAGAAAGCATATGCTATCGTATCATCAAACCTTGCAGGTTTTCGAATTACCCTTTGTGGTCTATTCTTGGTGATTGACTCAGGTTCCTCCACTCTTTCATTTACAAGTCTTTGCTCCTCAAGACTTTGCTCTTTCTGTTCTAAGACATCAAAGTTATTATTTACCTGATCAATAGGTTCTTCAGTAGGAGCAACCACATCAGGAGAGAACACCACCTTCTCCACCTGCTTCAATGCCTCGTCATTATTTTCAATTTTCTGCAAAAACATTCCAGACTCATCGAATGTCACATCTCGACTATTAACAATCTTACTTGTTTCTGGACACCATAACCTATGTTAGATAAAACCTGAGTTTTACCGTTTTTCTTATTCACACGATTTCAGAAAATCGTCAGTTTGACCATTTGACAAATCACGTCGAATGGATCACCAGAGTTTTAGACTGACATTTTGTAGGGAGTGACACACATTTAGTTGGCCACTCTCTAGCCATTTTTAGAATTCTTTTTACTTTAAATAGGAGATTTGTTCAGAAAATAAAACAATCCGAACGCAGTCAAAATTCAGTTAATTTTCTCTCTCCTTTTTGTTACGCAGTTTCTTCCAACACCCAATTTCCTCTCACCGAAATTCTGTGAAAAACAACAAGTGGTATTAGAGCCAGGTTGAAGATCGGTGTATATCATTGCAGAGGAGCCAACCTATCAACAAACAAGTTGAATAGCTCAAGTGGTTAGAGCTTTGACCTAACATCACAAAGGTCTCAGGTTCGAGTAGAAGAAAATGTGAAGTGTAAAAACACGCACATCATGGGGCCCATCTCGGGCAGGCTCACTCACTCCTCCACGTCGTCGTCGTGTGCCGACACAATATTTTTTTTTATACATGCCAAAGTGACGGAAAAGACAGAATAGTTTTTACATATCCACCCAGTCTAGCAACTTTTTTGGAAATGATACAAAAAAAGATATCTTTGGTCACAACAGAAAAACTTTTTTCTGATGAATTGGATAATTCTTGGAATTATCTGAATGAACAAAAAAAAAAAAAAATTAAACAAAAAATTGATAAATAGAATAGAAATTCTGGATAAGGGATCCCCAGCTAGAGTAGGGGATGTACTGGAAAAAAGGACTCAATTATGTAATGATGAAACTGAAAACGACTATTTACCAAAAACATATGATCCTTTGTTGAGCGGACCTTACCGCAGACGAATAAATTTTTTTTCATTCTCAATGATAAATGAAACTTCTAGAAAAAATGATAGTGAGAACGTTTGGACAAATAAGATTCATACTATCTTTCTTAATACTAATTACCCACAAATTGAAGATAAAATTGAGTCAGAAGATCGAATAAAATATTTCAAATTTTTATTCGATGCAATTATAACCCCTGACATCTCCATCACCGCCGCCACAAAGAGGCCGACGCCGTGATGACGGGCGTCGACAATTATAACGAATGGATCTTGTTGATGCGCGTCAACCTACAGGCGCAAGGGTTATGGATCTCCCACGGGCGCATGCGCGGGAAAGATGGGAATCAAAAGAAGGAGTCGACCAATGGCACAGGCCAATCTGCTCGAACTGTGGGAAGAGAGGACACCTAAGCAGGAATTGCTGGAGCAAGCTTAGGAACAAGGAGAAGGCCGAAAAGGCCCATGTGGCTCAATCCGAGGAGGACGAGCCAGCTCTCTTCATGGTAAGTGCATTGTGTCCCCATTGTCGATTCCAAATCCACCGAAATGGAGGTAATCAACAACGATGTTGAACTCGAGAAAGAGCTCCAGCTGGGCGTAGCAAAGGTGGCACCAGCTAGGGAGCCAATTCAACTGGAGGAGGAGCGAGTGTTCGCTCAGATCAGCGAGCGGGACCGAGCAACACAAGGATCGGCGATGGATCCTAGACACAGGGGCAACAAACCATATGACCGGGGCTAGATCTGCATTCTCCGAACTCGACTCGGGGATCCGCGGGACGGTGAAATTCGGCGACGGATCCGTCGTCGAGATCGAAGGACGCGGCACCATCCTATTCGCTAGCAAGGGAGGCGAGCATCGCAAGCTGACCGACGTCTACTTCATCCCGAGGCTCAAGGCTAACCTTGTGAGCCTGGGTCAACTCGATGAGACAGGCTGTTTCATCTCCATCAAGCGCGGATTACTCAAAATTTGCGATAATCAACGACGGCTGCTCACACAGGCAAGTCGCACGACAAACCGTCTTTACATCCTGGAGTTATAGATAGAGCAACCTGTCAGTCTCTCGGCCAAGACCGAAGAGGTATCTTGGAGGTGGCACGCAAGGTACGGGCATTTAAACTTTCCTGCTCTAGAAAAACTACAGAAGGAGGAGTTAGTGCACGGTTTGCCAGCAATCAAAGGCGTGAACAAGCTGTGCGACGGGTGCCTCATCGGCAAACAGAGGCGCACACCCTTTCCGTCTCGAACATCCTATCGAGCCGATGAGCCGTTGGAGCTTGTACACGGCAATATCTGCGGGCCCATCAAGCCGACGACCCCAGGCGGTAAGAGTCTCTTCCTCCTGTTAGTCGATGACAAAAGCCGCTTCATGTCTCTGACCCTGCTGCAAGCGAAAAGTGAGGCGGCAGAGGCGGTTAAGTGCATTAAAGCGCGAGCAGAGGCCGAATGTGAGAAGAAGATGCGAGTGCTGCGCACAGACCGAGGCAGAGAATTCACCTCGACAAGTTTCGGTAAGTACTGTGACGAAATCGGCATACAACAGCACCTAACGGCGCCCTACTCCCCCCAACAGAACGGAGTGGTGGAGCGCCAGAATCAGACCATCGTCGGGACAGCAAGATCATTGTTGGTGACAGCCGAGATGCCTGGGAGATTCTGGGGAGAGGCAGTAATGACGGTCGTATATCTCCTCAATCGGTCACCAACCCGAAGCCTTGACAGGAAGACACCATATGAGGCCTGGTACAACAAAAAACCAGCGGTACATCATTTTCGCGTGTTCGGCTGCGTCGCTTACATGAAGGTAACATGTCCCCACCTCGCCAAGCTCGATCCTAGGGGGCTGAAGGTCGTTTTTATCGGCTATGAACCCGGGAGCAAGGTGTACAGACTATATGATTCTGTAGGGGGCGAGCTCACGTGTCTTGCGACGTCGTCTTCGATGAAAGCACCTTCTGGCAGTGGAATGACGTGATCGAGGCAGACCATAATCCAAATCAATTTATAGTGAAGTACCTCGTCA